TCTCTCTCTCTCTCTCTCACACACACACTCACACTCTCACACACACACGCCCCTTCATTGAGTCTGAGTGTAGTGAGAGGACTGACTGATCGTATGGAAACACTGTGACACACGTGATGTCAGTAGTTCAGTGTCTGTTCTCTCGGATGCAAACACACGTCTGATTCTGCTCTCATGTTTCGGTTTGAGTCGGTGTTGTGTTCTCGCTCGTGTCGGTCGCTCGGCCTGCAGCAGCGCTCCGTCAGATTCTCCGTAAGTTCTTCAGAATGAAGCGTTTCTGAATGTTCTCTTACACCTGTGTGTGATGGACTGAAATACGACTGCTAATGTGTCCGGACTGAATCGAGCTGTGTGTGTGTGTGTGAGAGAGAGTCTGGGTAAGAGTGTGTGTGTGTGTGTGTGTGTGTGTGTGTGTGTGTGTGTGTGAGAGTCTGGGTAAGATTGTGTGTGTGTGAGAGAGAGTCTGGGTAAGTGTGTGTGTGTGTGTGTAAGATTGTGTGTGTGTGTGTAACACTGAGCTCAGTGATTTTCCTCCTGTGAGCGTCTGGAGCCTCAAGTGCTGCGGCTTCTGCAGGATATTTTTAGTTGTTTGTTCCACGAATAGCTTCACGTCAATCCAGAGATCAACGCTTCTCTTCCTGCAGACGGACGAGTTTCCTCCGTGTTCTTCATCTCATCCGTCTGTTCACTCGTGTGTTTCATAGACTCTTCTGAACGAGTTCGGAGTTCATCTGTGTGCAGGGACTCTTCTCTGAGTGACGGGTTAGTTTAGCCAAATGAGTTAAGATAGAGAATATCACACTGACAGGTTCAAAGTCAGTCAGTGTCGGGGGTTGAGGTGAGTTTCTGCATGAGGCTTGAGAGAGACAGAATAAATGCGACCGTTTCCTCTTACAGACGCACACAGGAAGACGCGCTGCTTTATTTAGCCTGTGAAGAACACAAACACAGACACACACACAGACACACACACACAGCTGTCCATCTCCTTCATGAAACATGCACAGCTCTGTGTTGGGTTACACATCACCAGATGGACGTGTGTCTGTCTGTGTGTGTGTGTGTCTGTCTGTGTGTGTGTGTGTGTGAGTGTGTGTGTGTGTGTGTGTTATTACCTGCTGGTTTTGTCTAGAACGGTTTTATTTGTTGTGTTGCATAACGAAGCGCCGCTGCTGCTGCAAAAGCGTCTGGGATCTGACTCTGAATCACACTGATCTGTGTGTCTTTGAGTCGATTGATCACAAATGATCCAGTTTACAATACAAGCTGTTGATGATGTTTGTGTTGGTTGGCAGGAGACACAAATCACATGTAAATGAAAGTGTCTTGTGAGAGCAGGACCGGTCTGTCCACCCTTGAGTGTGCACTAGTGAGGGCGTGTGTCTCGCGTCCCTTCAGGCTGTTTCTTGTTCCCGTTCTGCTGCTGCGTGTCTGTTTTGTGCTAAATTTACTGTTGATGATGTGAACAGGTAAAAAAAGCTCATCTATGTGTGATGTGACGTCAGTCAGGTGTGTGTGTGTGTGTCACATTTAATGCAGTGACTGAATCCAACTCCCAGAATGCTCAGTGTTCACTCCATGATGAGGTATTTAAAACATGAGAGAAAGAGAGAGATGCTTTTTGAAGTACTGTGCTTATTCATATATCTCTCTCTCACACACACACACACAGTTTGTCTTCTGATTGGCATTCAGTTGGTGCATTCAGTGTGTGTGAGTGAGAGAGTGTGTGTGTGGTTGTGTGTGAGTGAGAGAGTGTGTGTGTGTGAGAGAGAGTGTGAGTGTGTGTGTGAGAGAGAGTGTGTGTGTGTGTGTGGTTGTGTTGTGTTGTGTGTGTGTGTGTGTGTGTGTGTGTGTGTGTGTGAGTGAGTGAGTGAGGTTAGTCTGTTCCTAGCGTTCATGAATCAGACAGATGGTAGAAGCGTTCCTGTATCATAAACAGCGGATCATGGCGTTAGAAACAGCAGTCATGAGTTAAACTCCAGGGATTGTATGAACTGAAGAGATGATTAGTTGAATGCAGCATTAAAGTCACTTCAGATAAAACATGTAACCGTGTTGTTTTTCTCCTCTGTCACTATTTGTTGTTAGGGTTGATCTCTATGTCAACAATATTGTGTGTAGAACAATCAGACCAACTATGTGTGACTCTGCACTTGTGTGTGTGTGTGTGTGTGTGTGTGTGTGTGTGTTTTGGACACACCTGTGCTGCAGGTAAGAAGAGCTAAAGTGCGTCAGACCGCAGAGCTCCGTCTGATCTCCTCCCGTCTCTCTCTCACAGCTTAAAATGCTCCAGCGTGTGACTCCTGACATGTAAATGGCGTCGAAGGTGCGTGATGCTGTGCTCTGGTACCAGAAGAAGGTGAGAGATCAGTCCATGTTCCTCTTTCTGAGATCTGTTGATGTTTCCTCACATCGTGAGTTCATGTGTTTGAGCTTCTGTTTGATGTCTGTGTGTTGAGCACTGATGCTACTGATCTGAGCTCCTGATGATGATGATGATGATGTTCTGGACTGACAGTAGATCCTCACACAGGATTGAGTTCTGATGCCTCTGAGAAACTGAAGCTGAAGGGTTTGTTAGAGTTTGTCATGAATCTGTTCGGTTTAGTTTTGGACGAATCCTGTGACTGTTTCCTGCATCGCTGCTGAATGTCACAAAACAGATAATGCTCAGTCAGAGAAACACTCAACAACATGAAAAACAAAATGACGAATGCTCGACACATCTGCCTTTGCTGGTTACACACAACAGACGACTAACTCGCGCACGGCTGTCAGCTCACAAACACCTGAGCTTTATTTAGACTCTGTTCTGTCAGTTTCAGACCAGAGCCTGCTGGCTGTTGTGTTGCCATAGCAGCAGGTACTGTGATGTCATTTCCTCTGAGCTTTCATTTAGCATGAAGAACGAGAAAATCTGTGTGAAAGACTCATCTGTCTATCTGCTCAGGTTGATATTATGTAACTGCATAGAAACACCGCAGGATCATCTCTCTCACACACACACACACACACTCACACTCTCTCTCACACACACACACTCACACACTCACTCACACACACACACACTCACACACACACACACACACACACACACACTCTCTCTCTCACACACACACTCTCCCACACACACACACGGGTCGCGCTCGCTGTATGTTTAATGAGACTGAACTTGTGAATTATTGAGTGTTTTCCACCGTGTGACTTAAGTCCAGCGTCGCTGTCTTCACCTCCAGTGTTCAAACGACACCGAGCCGCGGTACTTATTGCCCCCGGCAACAATCAGACCAATCAGACCAGCGCATCGCATCCATTCAGATCTCCAGAAACTCCATCCTGCACGACGCTCCAAACCAGAAAATATTTATCACTGCTTCCTCGTTAAACGTGTCTGATCACATAATTAACACTCATGTTTAGCTGATTTGTTTTTTTTTTTTTATACTGCCATGCTGGGTTCAAGTTCTGTTCAGCCATCAGACTGTAATTATTAAAAAAGAAAAAAAATACAAGCTTAGTAATTTTAAAGTCTTCTATAATAACATTATTCCATGCACATCACAATCTAATACGTTTAGGAGAAAACAGGTGATTGAGATTGAGTTTATGCTTTCGAAACGCTCTGTTTTCCCTGCCATCGTCAGCTGAAGCTGTGTGAACGTCTCACACGCAGCCTCCGAGAGAAATTCTCCAGTACAGAACCCGCATTGATCACGTCAGAGTTTATCTGTACAACACACGCTACTGTAATAATGTAGCTAAACTACAGCTGGTTGAAGGCTCGCTAACAATACAGTTCCAGAAAGTTACTCACACTCTCTCTCCAAATGTAGCATCAGATTTAACCAAAGAAATATATAAGGCTAGATTAAGAACGAAGGATAAGAACTTCTTACCGTTTCTTGGGAAGTTAGCAGGCAGAGGGGTCGTCACAGGGTCACGCTGCTTGCCATGTGTTCCTCAACAACGCTTCGCTGCTCAGAAGCACCAATTAATCAGCCTAACGTGCAGCACAAGCAGCCGAAGCCGATTCATTAACAAATGCCAAAAATCAGCCCGATCGATCGGCCGACCTCTCTCTAATTTGGATGTGTAACCTGTCTCTTGTCTGTCCGTCTGTTAGATCGGTGCGTATGACCAGCAGATATGGGAGAAATCAGTGGAACAGCGAGAGATCAAGGTAACGAGTCAGTGACTCTTGATTTGAAAGCTTCCTTTCACCTGTTCATTCTGCCTTTGCAGCAGTGTGTGTGTGTGTGTGTGTTTGTGTGCTTAGTTCGTTCATTCTTCTTTTAAACGTGTCTTTATCTCCCTTCACTCTAAGCAGTTTATCAGACGGGTGAGTATCGCTGTAAGCCGCTGCGGCGCCGCTCTCAGCCTGTAGGTGGCGCTGCGTGTGGGTTTTTCAGTCTGGTCTTCATGTGTAACACGACTGGATGCCTGTATTTGTGTGAGAGCATGTTTAGACTTCAATAAGGTCACATCAGTAACACGAGGGTTTACTGTAATCTACTGAGACTTAGCTGAACGTCTTAAACTCCTCACACACGCGTCTGATGATGATGATGGTGGGCAGCTCTTTTCTGTGTTGTAGTCAGGATCAGATCTCATTGGTTGAGAGTGAATTTGCATTCAGTTTGTTTGTTTGTGCTGCTTTTACTGGTTGCGCTGTGACTCGTGTTTGGCCGAATGTTTTGCGTAACACGAGGGCTAGACAGACAAAAATAAAGACAACAGAAAGTCTGAGTTAAACCTCATTCTGCCCTGATCAGTGAGGAATAAAGCCGCTCACGCTGACCGTCTCTGATCTGTTACAGTCGCTTTACCAATGGCCTGAATCCATCTAATCTGTAACAAAGTAACAAACTTGATGCATTAACAGAAGATGTGCATTTACTGATACTTCCGACGGCTTTGAATGCAGCTCATCCAATCAGCATAGAGTCTGAATGATCCGTTTCATAGATGACTGACTGTAGAGTCATTATTTCTCAGACTCTGACGAGGAAAGTATTATTGATGAAATGATTGTTAGTCTGTCATCCGCGGAGTAAGTGAGCGTACTGTTCTTAATTTCATGTGTTTCTGAATCATTTTATTGACTGCGCTGCTTTTAATTATTTGAGGACATTGGAAAGATTTTTAATAAAGTCAGACCTGAATCAGTTTTTATCAAAAATAGATTTTAAAGTAATATATTTTTAAGTAGTATTTTGGGTGTTTCTGCCTTTATTATGATAGAATAGTTAAAGATTGGATATTAGAGAGGAGGGCCGGGACTCAAACTCGGGTCACGTGACGCGTGCTACACACAACACGACTCTAACCTGTGATTTGTCATGAGTATAGTAACAGCACACCGGCTCAGGGTTTTTGTTGAGCGGGTCGGTTTGCATTGGTTCTCGTGTGGAGATCACTGCTGTTTGTATGAATATCTGCTGTAGCGTCAGGTGTTTACAGCTCGTTATTAGCAGAAGACTGCTCTCTGGTTACATGAGCGCCAGTGCAACAGGAGACTAATGAGGGCATGAAACGCAGCACTGCACCTTTAATAGACAGCATCACAAACAGGCTCGTGTTTGTGTGTGAACTGATGTTCGGAGGTCGACTCGAGATTATTAAGGTTTTTTGTTTTGAGGTCTTCATATAAATACATTTGAGTTGTAAATCCCTAATAATCTGTCATATTAAATAAGTGACTGAGAGAGCTGCTTCAGATCCTGCTTAAAGTCAGTGTTTTATTGCACTCTGGTCATGAATTCACTCATTTATTCTATTAATCTTTTTTTAATTAAACTTATATTTTATTTTATATTTAATTAAACGTATGTTGAGAAGTGTGTGTGCGCTGACATGCATGGGTTCTCCATCAGTGTGAATGATCTGCTGTGACAGAAGACACCATCAGTTATCCTGTCTGTCTGTCTGTCTGTCTGTCTGATGAGTGTCTGTCTGTCTGCAGGGTCTGAGTAACAAACCGAAGAAGACCGGTCACGTGAAGCCGGACCTGATTGACGTGGATCTGGTCAGAGGTCAGAAACACATGTCTGTAGTTGATGTGTTTCGTTGTGTTCACATCACGTTCAGGTCTATTATACAGGTCAGTCGGATCATCATGAGTCGCGGATGCTAACTCGTCGTGTGTTTTATTCGTCAGGTTCTGCGTTTGCTAAAGCGAAGCCCGAGAGCCCGTGGACCTCTCTGACCCGGAAGGGCATCGTCAGAGTGGTTTTCTTCCCCTTTTTCTTCCGCTGGTGGATTCAGGTGACGTCGAGAGCCGTCTTCTACCTGCTGCTGTCTCTCTACCTGCTGCAGGGTGAGCGTTGATTCACACACAATCGCTTGATGTCCTGCGAGTTTCTCAGCAGTCATTTAAGTGAGGATGGTGAAAAGTATAGGGAATGTCTCGGTTTAGAGATAATGCAAATGACATCAGAGAACAGCAGACTTATTATTGTATAGTGATGTCTGTCAGGTGTGTCTGTAGGTCAGATTGATCATGCCACGACGCGCTGATGGGATTCTTGTGTTTCTACACATCCAACCGCGAGTCCCTCCGTCAGTTTGACTGAATGACGCCTTTCTGATTGTTTTTATGTTGCTCATTGAGGTCACTGTAGCTGTTTTTCTTGTTAGAGATGTTTGTAAATAGACCTGGGTGGAGTTCAAGTGCTTTTGTTTTTATAGTTATTAAAGAGAACAGGGTGTGTGTGTGTGTAATAATCCAAATTCATTTACCAAACAAAAGTAAACAAATCTCTCGTCAAATGTTCGTCATCACTGAAAGTGAAGCTTTAATTTGAAGTTTAATTTGACTAACTTATCATAGTGTTAGACTGGACAGCAACAAAAGATGTGAGAATCATTTTCTCCTGCCTTTTAACAGCTGAGTTTATTTTACTGTCCTAACGATGGACATTTACATGATTAGCTGCACTGGATTATTTGCGTCTGAATATTGTGTTTTTTTCCCCGTGGCTCGTGAGTTAAGTGCTCCTCATGTCATCGTGTGTGTTTTGTGTTGCAGTGCTGGCGGCGGCGTTGTTTTTCAGCATCTCCAGTCCTCACAGCGTCCCCGTCACCGAGGTGTTTGGAGCCATCTGGCTGATGCTGCTGTTAGGAACCGTTCACTGCCAGATCGTCTCCACACACACTCCTAAAGCCAGCGGCGGCGGCAGCGGGAAACGCCGCAGGTCAGACTCTCTCTTCTGTGTGTAGCTTTAGGCAGAAAGCATGTCTTTAATGCTCCTGTACGGTTTCTTTTGAAGCCAGAGGTCAGCTGTCCTACTGACAGTGAAACTCTAGAGACGAAATCAGGGGAAGTGTCAAACTGTTGAGATGATTCTGCTGAATTCATGAAAATCTTTCTTTATATTTGAGGATCCAAACACAGACATGGCGCTTTCATGTCTTCATTATTAGGAGATTTTCAGCATTATAAAAAAGAAACGCCATCACAAGCACAAATTATCAGTCGTATTCCAGAAGCATGAATAGAAATTAATATTCTAAAGGATCTAAAATCCAAAAGATTTTGACTAACAAACTTCAATGCAAATGAATCATTCAAAGTTTGTTTGCATCATCTGAGTTTAGTCGGCGTCTCTTTCAGGCCTTTCGCTTCTCTTGACTTTGGGAATCAAGAGCTCTGAGGCCAAAGTTCGCCCTGTTTAAACTTTTCTAAGTTTTCTGCACTTTGCTGTCTCGCTGAAGGAAGTTGAGGAAAGCGGCTCATTTGGACATTCATAGAGAAGGCGACGGCTCTAGCACTACTGATAACACACAGGAGGGGGCGCCGCAGGGCTCGCTGTCTGCCGGCTCACGCAGCCTCGTGACTTTCTTCAGAGATTTCTGGCATGGTATCTTTAAAGCGGGGTGTGTATTTCTCTCTTTCTCTCATCTCCTCTTAAGATCTGAATGGCTAGAACATCTCTTCTAAAAGCACGTCATCGCGCTGCAGTGCGGCTCTGCGTCTGTCATTGTGTTCCTCACTAGACAAAGGGATTTTGTAGCCATTTTATTCCATCTGCTCCATGTTTCAAATGCTGCACTTATCATTTTTCCCCAAAATCACAATTGTTACAGTCTCTAGAGACCGGTTCACTTTCTCCCGATTCACGTTCTTCCATCAGTGTTTTGCTGTAGAGGACTAGAGCTGCACTTCCACACGTTAGGAACGGAGGCGTCGCTTGATCAAACACACAGCCTTTAGTAGAACCTGCTCCACACACACACTCTCACACTCACACACACACACACACACACACACCAGTCCCTCCGGATCTGCTGAATGAATGAGTGTGTGGAGGCGTGACTGACGTGTGTTTTGTGCGTATCAGTGTCTGTCTGAGGCTGCAGTTCCTCGCGCGGTGGAGAACATGTCGGGTGAAGCGTCCAGTGAAGAAGACCCAGAGAACTACAGCGCCCTCCGTGGAGTGGAGCGCAAGAACAGCGACTGCACGCTGCGCAACAGAAAAGCTCACCCCTACAAGAAGCATTACACTGCTGAGGTAAAACACTCACACACGCACGCACGCACGCACACACACACGATCAGTGCTTCTGTAGGAGCACAAACACAGACTCCTTCACTTCTCGTTTGGTCTCAGGAGATGCTGAAGTCGGGCACCAGCTGCAGCTCGCGGATGCAGGACTCTGAGAGCGCGCGGCACGAGTCTGAGACGGAGGATGTTCTGTGGGAGGACTTCCTGCACTGCGCCGAGTGCCGCTCCTCCTGCAGCAGCGAAACAGACGCTGACGGATCCGCAGCCTGTTCTGCGTCTAAGAAAGAGTTCAGAGACGACCCGTTTCATCAGGTGCGTCGCAGATCCGGTCAGGTGATCTGGAACTGATGCCTCATTGGTTCAGATTTGTTGTGCTCGTGTGTAATGATGTGTGTGTGTGTCGCTCTGCTGCTGGTGAAGGGTCACGTGCCGTGGCTCCACAGCTCTAATCCGGGCCTGGAGCGCGTCAGCGCCATCGTGTGGGAAGGAAACGAATGCAAGAAAGCAGACATGTCTGTGCTGGAAATCAGCGGCATGATAATGAACAGGGTGAGTGTGAAGCAGAGGAAGGAAGGCAGTGAACTGATAGAAATGCATTGAAAGTCTCTGGATAGAAGCGTGTGCTAAATCATGATTACATGAAGCCCTGATCTCGTCCTCCTCTCGCCCGCAGGTCAGTCTCTACACTCCAGGCATCGGCTATCAGATCTTGGGGAATCTGGTGTCTGTGACGCTGGGTTTGACTCCGTTTGCGTTCAGATTGTTCCAGCACAAAGAGCCGGAGCAGCTGGTGTCTCTGTCGGCCGGTGAGCTGGTGTCTGTGGCCACTCTCTCACACACACACACTCACTCTCTCACAAACACACACACACACTCTCTCACACACACACACTCACACTCACACTCTCACACACACACGCTCACACTCACTCACACTCACACTCTCACACACACACGCTCACACTCTCACACAAACACACATTCACACTCTCACACACACACACTCACACACAACACTCTCACACACACACGCTCACACTCTCACACAAACACACATTCACACTCTCACACACACACACACACACACACACACACTCTCTCACACACACACACTCACACTCTCTCACACACACACACACACTCACACATGACTGACGGTGTGATCGTATCAGAGCGCTGACGTGTCTCTGTCCCGCAGGAGTTGGACGCTCCGTTCCGTCTGTACGGTCTGACCATGAATCCTCTGCTGTATAACATCACTCAGGTGGTGATTCTGTCGGCCGTGTCGGGGGTCATCAGCGACCTGCTGGGCTTCAACCTGAAGGTCAGATGCTCGCTGTGGGTCGATGTCTGTGAGTCTCTTATACTGTTGGCGCTGTGTTCACAGTTTGTGTGTTTGCTTCACAGCTGTGGAAGATCAAATCATGACGGTGAATCTGCAGTGATTTCAGCTTCCCGAGGCGATGCGCGTCTCAAACACACGGGGGCTGCCTGACAATGAACTCTTGACCTGTTGTTCGGTCATAGAGTGCTTGTGCAATTCAGCTATTTATTTTACCCTTTCAGTGTTTTTTTGTTATTCTCAAGTATTTGTTTTAGCTGTTACAGTTGTTTTAAGTATTATTTTAGCTCCTGATGTGACGTTCTCATAGGAAAGATAATCCAGCGCTTGTGCATGTGTCAGATTTACAGTCTGATCTGTGATATTTAAGACTGCTGTGAGTTACTGAAACCAAGAGAAAAGCCCCATCATGACGTGACGATCATTGTGGAATGCACACACACACTCACGGAACTGCCGTTTTTACACGCGTGTGAGTTTCTTCAGTTGATCTGCAGTTTTTCAGCTTTGTTTTATTCTCGGCAATAAGTGTCAGTGAGTTCAGATGAACATTGGTGCGTCTGATCATGCACTGATTCAGGAGCTTCACGTGTCGTCTGCGGTCTGTTAAACGTGTGTGTGTGTGTGTGTGTGTGTGTCAGTTAGGAAAGCCTCAAAATGTGCACTTTAAAGCAGAAAATGTTACATGTTTCAAAGAGTCAGAGTCAACGTTTCAGTCTTAGCATTTTGTGTTTTTATACGTGACACGCGACAGACGGCGTAACGACCAAAGTGTGTGTGTGTGTGTTTGTTTCTTGCTGGAGATGAATGTATTAGAGACTCTTTGAACTGCTTTGTTACTTATTTGGTTGTGATTTTGTTTTTCTCTGTTTTGGGTTTGATTCATATAGATTCATATTTCTGTTCATGGAGGGAACATTTTCCTGTTACAAAGAAACACTATTTAAGGAAAAAGGGAAATGGAGAAACTGAACGTCTTGTTTTTTAGAGAGACTCTTGTGTTTCTAGTCTCTGTCAGACATTCAGCGGCGTTTTTTCTCTCAGCTTCACGAGACTCTTGTGCTGGTGTCACTTATAATTCAACACACTGTACAAAATAAATCTTTCATGGAAAGTGTTTGCAGTGCTCAAACTTCTTTAGCTGATCGGGCGCATCAACCATCTGCTAACTAACTAAACCAGGTATGTGCTGTGATCCGGGTAGTGCACTAAAATGACACTATTTCACTATTTTAAACACTTTTCAAAGAAACGGTTCACCGAAGTAGTCACGTAGATTAATATGAGCTCATAAAACTGCATGTATAATAAGGAATTACTTGTTTTAGATCAAGAATGTCACTGCACATCATCTAGCCACAAATGAAATGCTCCTCAAAGCAGCTCTAGTTGAGACGTGTGTGTGTGTGTGTGTGTGTGTGTGTAGATCAGACGCTAACAGAGCGGCGCTTGTTCACGTTCACCCACACATGAACATAAATACAGCAGGGGAACGTCAGGATGCCTGACTGGTTATGTGTTAGCTAGTTAGTGTAAGTGAAAGATTGCCTGATGCATTAGTGATCGTCAGAGGCGTGTCCTGAATCTGCAGCGGTGTTTGTCGAGGCTCGACTGACCTGAGCAGAATCTCAGCTGGACTCTACCGCTTCTGAAGGACGGTTTCAGCTCAAGCCGCGGATCTTAAGAAACACTCAATCTAAAACAAAGAGGGAGCAAATCCAGCCTCAGCTCTCAAACATTCATCACACATCAGGGAAAATGTAGTAGTAAAGGACAAACTTCTTTAATCAACAGTAAAATGCTATTTCACTCAATTAGAATTACAATAAAAATAGCGATCTGCTCAGTAAAATCAAGGTCATTATTCAAAACATGATTGTGAAAACTTTTCATATTTACAAACAAATGAAAAAACCCTGCTGCAAATGACAAGTTTTGTTCATTCACTTACTGACCGCAGCTCCAGTGGTTTCTCCTAAGAAGTGTCTTTAAAAATCAGTCATTTTACTGTCTATTTCTAAAGAATATTCGCTGGCAAATATCAAACTCGTACATTGCTCCATAAGAATCTTTCATTAAACACACACTGCACTAACCGCATCCAAACACCTCGACTGACGCTAAACTCGGCTCGTCTTTCTCACGCTGATGAACGCTCGTCTGCACAAACAGACCAGACAAAACATGATGCATCACAATAAATCAGTGCATTATTAGATCTAACTGTATGTCACATTATTAATAATCAAACAGTAATGTGACGAGGAGAAATCACTGCTCTTGTCTGAATAACTTTAGCAGCTTTAATAACATACTTTGCTCTCTCGTGCTCGTTATTGCTTGTCATGCACTTCTTTGCTTTTCATTTTGTTGCTGTTTTCTAAAGAAATGTTTTATGGAAAAATACTTTCGGACTATTGAATTCATTATTATTTATAATTATACAAATGCATTGATTAGGGTTAGGAACTTTTTAAATAGTTAAAATCATTCATGGATTTCGTGCATTGGTATTGAAATTAGAAGAGTGAACTTTGTCCTCCTTTTGAAAGTCAGTAAGTTAGAAACACAAGACCGCTGCGTTGCACAGTTAATCCGATTCTGTGCAAAAACCTCACCAGTTTGCAGTCTGGTAAGTGTAAAGGAACTCTGTCAGGGTGCAGCTACACATATCACTGCTAAACTAGTATGGTAGAGAAGTATGTTAATCTGCTATTCTGAACACGAAATAAACTCCCATCATTCTACAAACTTTGCAGCGACGTGTCGTCAGGTCAAAGGTCACGCCGCGCTCTCGCTCTCCCGGCTGAAGTCAGACGAGCTGGAACGCTGCCGACGGAAGTCGATGAATATTCCCTCGGTGTCGGAGTCCAGAGACTCCAGGATCTGGTCCACGATGGGAGGAGACGGACCCTCGCAGACGTCTGGCTCTTCTGCGCAGGAGGTCATCTGACACACGGAGTGGCGTCTGGCCCCGGCGCCGGCGCTGCTCTCGGGGTCGTACTCGGCCACCGGTGTGTCAGCATGGGCATGTTGTAGCTCTTGGAGCGCACCACGGGGTTCTTAGCGGGCGAGTCGCTGGAGCGCGGCCATCGGCGCAGGAGCCGCTTCTCTGAGAACAACAAACGAAGAATGGGTCAGGAGAATGTGCTGCGACCGCTGCGTGAGCTTTACTGTGACGCTGCTCACCCAGAACACACGAGCTCTGCGCCACCGAGCCGTCGCCGGAGAACAGGCCGTGAGTCCCCAGATACGGAGACACCACCTTCTGCACCAGACACTCCAGCTTCAGGTAATCACTGCTCACACCTTTAGACTCGTGAACCCCCTGCGACACACATCACATCAACACCAGCCTCCGCTCACACCACTGCATCATTAGCAGTCATCAGAAGACGGAGTGAAACTTTGCATTTTCATCACATTATGAACTGACGCATTCATTTCCGTACACTTACTTTGATTTCTATAAGCACGTCTCTCACACTTTCACCCAGAAAACATTTCTGCAGGTTTTATGAAGGCAAATGTAAGACTTTAAGACTATTTTAAGACCAAGTAAAGGGTGTCTAAAAGAGACAAAATGTCTAAAGATACATTCAGAAGCAAATGACACGAGTCTTGTTTTCTGAGAAACTGATCAAAATGGAGTAAATTTATAATTAAAACAAGAACAAATTTACAAGGTCAGAAAAATCTACTTAATTCAAACAGAAAACACTGACATATCTGTTCTTGTTTTTAAGCATAAACTCATTTAATTTTGTTCAATTTCTCAGAAAAGACTTCAACTATCTTCATTTTGCTCCTCCAGTAAATGAATCTTGATTTAAGGAAGTTTAGTTATTTGTACTGGAAAACAAGACAAAGATACTGAGGAAGATACTCGTTTTTGCAGTGCAAGCAGCATTTAATGTCATGACTTTATGGATTTAAGACGTTCTGCTCTGATTTAGGACATTCTAAGGCTTTAATTTGTAAAATTCAAATTCAGACTCTTCAAGACCAACAGAAACCCTGCAAGTAGCTGATTCATCATGATCAAATATCTGACAGATCACTGCAGCAGATGTGAAAAAACTAAACAATAAAACAAAAATATGACGAGCCCTTTAAAATGCAGCATGCAGAGATAGACAGGAAATGAAACCACAAACAAACCAGAAAGAAACACACACTCTCTCACACACACACACACTCACACACACACACACACACCTTGTGAAGTATAAGTAAGGTGTAGATATATTTCACACAGAGTCTGAAGGTCAGGGATGATGCAAGCGCAGGAAACCACAAATATACACACGTCTCATAAACCCATTATGACACATTTGCTTGGAAATAAAACTCAGTTCACATACGTGTACACTAAAACACACGTGTGACTCCGTCCTGAGAGCTTGTAACACTCCAAAGAGAAAGGAAAACTTGAAATCGCATCATATGACCCCTTTAAGATGTGTTACACACACGCTACAGAAACCTACTGGAAACAGTTTCAGCTCTGCGTCGACTCAGGAAATCTAGAGCATTATCAAAGTTTCTGATGTTTGTTGACACGAGCGCCACAAAGGTTGCTGGGAAACAGCTGCATCTGTTCTGTAACACACACACACACACACACACACACACACACCTGCAGGATGAGCAGCATCTGAATGATGGAAGGCGGCACACGGGCCCGCGGTCGAGTCAGAGCATCGTCCAGCTTTATGTTGAGAGTGATGATGTTCCTGAAGTGCAGCAGAGCCAGCTGACGTACAGACGGCTCCTTCCCCTGAACACACACACACAGAGTCTCAAATACACCACCAGTTCATCCTTTACACACTCTCGCTAGTTCAGAGCAAATAAATCGCTCTATTAGCAAAATAAGAGTATTAGAGTGTTTGGTGAAGTACCTGGACGGGGTAGAAGATGGCCTGCAGCATAGACAGAACATCACAGAAGAAGAAGTCCCACATTTCTGCCAGAGAATCCAGCAGCTTCTGACCTACACACACACACAGACACACACACACACACACACACACACACAGAGCAGAACTGACTTCATAAATCCACTAAAAGTCAGTGAAGCACTAGAGACACATGATCTGATGGAGGACTTTCAGAAGTGTGACATGTGGACGATTCTTCTGAAGGTCACATCAGCATTAAACCCATCCTTTTAACGCAGAGGAAACTCTTCAAAACCACAAACACATGTGAACCGTCAGAAATGGTTCAGACAGCACCTTACCTTCATAAAAGTGAATCTTATCTCTCAAAATCACCATTCCTTTCGTCAGCAGCTGATTCTGTGACACAATCACAATCAAACTCAATTCACAGCTGCTTCATTTAGTATTGATTATTGATCTGAGACTCGACTGATCACCTGCAGATATTCTGTGAAGAAGGAGCCCAACTCGGTCTTTAGGAGCTGCCTAGAGACAGACAGACAGACAGACAGACAGACAGACAAAGACAGACAGATGGACAGAGAGACAGACAGAGACAGACAGATGGACAGACAGACGGACAGACAGACAGAGACAGACAGATGGACAGACAGACAGACAGACAAAGACAGACAGATGGACAGAGAGACAGACAGAGACAGACAGATGGACAGACAGACGGACAGACAGACAGAGACAGACAGATGGACAGAGACAGACAGACAAATGGACAGAGAGACAGAGACAGACAGACAGACAGACAGAGACAGAGACAGACAGAGAGAGACAGACAGACAGACAGAGACAGACACAGATGGACAGACAGAGACAGACAAATGGACAGACAGACAGAGACAGACAGATGGACAGAGAGACAGACAGACAAATGGACAGAGAGACATGGACAGACAGACCGAGAGACAGAGACAGACAGAAAGAGACAGACAGACAAACAGATGGACAGACAGACCGAGAGACAGAGACAGACAGACACAGATGGACAGAGAGACAGAGACAGACAGACAGACAGACAGAAAGAGAATTACTCAGGGTGAAAGGTGAAGGTCTGTATTATTCACACACTGATGCTGCTCATGTAAAAAGTTGTTTTTTTTAAACAAATTTATTAGCACTTTTAAACATGTTTGTTTATTCTGTATCGAGGAGT